ATATATACATATACATATACATATACATATATGTATATATATATGTATGTTGCTCTGTAGTTCAGGGTGTCCTTAAATTCACTATGTAGGCCATGCTGGCCTCAAACTCCTGGTGGTCCGCTTGCCTCAGCCTCCTAAGTGCTGGGATTATAGATGTGTGCCACCCTCGAGCAGCCTATTTCTCTATTTTTATCTAAATTTCAACTTTGATTTTTATGGACCCTGAGGCTTTCAATTGGATTTGTATCAGTTACTCACCTTACCTTCGTAGCAGTACAAGATGGTGGCAGGTTGGGCTGAAGGTGGAAATGACTTTGAGTTCCAAGAAAAACTGATATGGTTATTACTGGATTCAGTGAATTGAAATCATTTTGGAGTACTTTCCCTCATAGTTTATACTTAATGGCTTAAACCACTTGCTATAATGGCTATCATAGTTTCAGCAAACAGTTTTATTTGATGTAAAATAATTTATTAGTTTAATAACTTTAAATTGTACAGAAAGAAATATGAGAAATAAATCTGATCTGATAGTGGGAATCCAGAAAGACTATGTTCTTTTCAATAAATACATTTTGAGATGTTTGCTTATTTGAAGCAGGGTCTCTCTATGCAGCTCAGGCTTGCGCGAATTCACTGTGGAGCCCAGGCTGGCCTGGAATTCATAGTGATCCTCCTGCCTCAGCCTGCTGGGATCACAGGTGTGCACTACCACAACCAGCTTGTTTTGTTCCCCCCGCCCCCTTTTTTTTCCCAGTACTGAGGCCTAGGGTGTGTTAGGCAATCACTCTTGTGCTGAGCTACATCTCCAGTCCTTTTTTAAAATTTGAGATGAGGTCATGCAAAGTTACCTTGCCTGATCATGAATTTGGAATTCTCCTGCCTCAGCCTTCTAGAGTAGCTGGGGTTACAGGCATATACAACTAGGCCCAGTTTGTCTTACTCTTTTGAAGGAGAAGCAATGATCTTTTTTTCCCATATAATGTTGTCTATTTTCCCATATAATGTTGTCTACTCCATATCTTGTGTGTACTTTTATAGGTTTGATTATTAAAGTCAAGAGCAGTATCAATGTATTCTGCTCTTCAGTGCAGTATGGTACATGGTTTTAGTAAATAGTTTAGAAGAAGTGAAAAGATTGCATTTCTACCCACAGTACAGAATTCAAAATATAACACCCAGTTTGTTGGACATTTGTATAAAGAACTGTAGCACAAAGCAGATTGAAAGTTTTAATTCTCAAATTAAGAGAATGATCGAATCTTGTGATCCTGTGAGGAAGATCTCTGCACCAGCCCTACCTGATGCCTATGCTGGTGAAGTCTAAATGTCAGTATCTGGTGGGAAACCACTGTATTCTTAATCTTGGAAGTCTTAATTGGAACATCTGTACCTACAAATTGGTGGTAACTTACAATAGTAAACTAGAATTTAAAATGTGAGGAACTCTAGATCTAGTTTATGAACAAACCCTCTTGTGCTTAATTTTTATATTTTTGGAACAACTTCTGGCTCAAAGAAAAAGTACAAGTACTGTATGGTACAATGACCTATTTTTCCTAAACTGAGAGTAAGCTGCCAGCATTATGCCCAGCCCCTAGCATCGAGTATTTTCTGTAAACAAAGACAGTGTCTACAATGCAACTGTCAAACTCAGAAAACTAATATGGATGCATTAATACTACCTAATTCTCAGAATCACATGTTGCTTTTTTTGTTTGTTCTATTTTTTTGTTTTTTGAGGCAGGGTCTTTCTTTGTAGTTCAGGCTGGACCTGAACTCACTGTGTAGCCCAGGCTGGCCTACAACTCACAGCAATCTTTCTGCCTCGGCCTCCCAGGTGCTTAGATTACAGGTGTGTGCCACCACACCCAGCAACATGTTACATTAAGTTGTCTCATTTCCTTCATTCTAAAACAGTTTTTCACTCACACCTTGACTTTATGCTTTTGACAGTTTGAATATTACACAAGTCAGTTTTGTAAAATTTCCCCTTAAATCGTGTTTGTCTGATCTTTTCTTAGAATTAGATTTAGCTTACTACATTTCTTGGCAGGAATATCACTTCACAAAGTTAGACTGTTGAGACTATGTTTGGATGTTACTCTAAATACATTCCTGATGATGCATTTTGAAACACGAAAAACACAGCTTAAGAAGCCCTGTGTCTTCATTAAAATTTAACTACAAAGAACTAGTGTTTGATTACTGTGTGCTTCTGAAAAGATTGTCCTATCGAAAATAATTTTTTTTAGAGATGTTTCTTTAAATCATTTTACTACACTGAATTATAAATTAAGATGTTTTGGATAGTGTAATGATCTTTTGAATTTTGAAGATTTTTAGTAATACACTAAAACAGAATAGAACAACTGTACTTTTTTTTGAGCAAAATGGTACTTAAAAGATTCCAAATTTTATTTTCATTTTTATTTGCTGTATTGCACTATGCCTCATGTTATTTATTTATTTATTTATGTTTGGTACCAGGGATCGAAGTTGGGTCTCTGCACTTGGGAGGCAGGCGCCGGAAGCACTGAGCTAAATCACCAGCCCTCCATGTTAAATTCGTCAAAAGATGTTAAGAGCCATGCACTGTTTTGGATGCCTGTGAGATTACCTGTAACCCCAGCTACTCAGGCAAAGCAGGTTTAAGTTCAGCCTGGGCAACTTAGGGAGCCCCTAATGTCACAAAAAGGCTGTGGATGTAGCCCAGTGTAAGGCCCTGGGTTTGATCCCTAGTACTGCCAAGAAAGACTTCACAGTGAAAAGCCAAACCACAGGGTGAAATAAAATATTTGCAATACATAAAACTGGCAGGGGACTTGACTCACATAGAATCAAAAAAGAATGTCTACAGATAAAGGCAACCTAATGAAAAGCTGAAAGAGAATTGAACTTTGTTAAAGAACAGCCAATACATTTATTTAAAAAGGCTCAACACAGTAAGATGCCACTACACACTTATCAGAAAGGCTAAAAATTTGAAGAGTGAACAATAGCTAAGTGTTGACCAAAGCATGTAACAACTACAATTTTCACAAAATTGCTAAGTGTAAATTGGTAAAAAGAACTTTGGAAAACTGGTACACATTTAAATTCAACCTGCTGGGGATTTAGCTCAGTGGTTCCACCACCTGCCTTGCAAGTGCAGAGACCTGAGTTCAATCCCCGGTACAAAAAAAAAATTTTTTTTTTCAACCTGTATGTATCCTGTTTCCATTTATTCCATCCAGCTGACATGAATGTATATGTGGATATAATAGCTGTAGCTATGAAAGCTTCAAAATCTCAAGGGTATTTTAGAACAGGTCCCTTTCTGTTTTTTTGTTTGTTTGTTTTTGTTTTTTGGTGCTGGGGGTTGAACTCGGCTCCTTGCGTTTGCGACCCTTTCTGTTTTCTAAGGCATATAATTCTTGATTTATATAGAAGTTAATGTTTTTTTCTTGTGGCTGCTGGTTTGTTGTTTGTGACCTTAGCCACTGGACCCTTGGCATACAGCCCGTATGCTCCTGGATCTACACCAATTGGAGCATATAACACTAGCTCTCTGAGTCTTTTGTTTTTATTATATGCATGTAATTTATGTTGTTGTTCTGGGCTATTTGAGAAACAAGGGTTTGTAAGGACCAGAGGGAATGTTAATGGGTGCAGTCTAGCTGAGGTTGAAATTTGTAATATGGAGGGTATGTGACTATAACAAGCAAGAAGATTCCTTATAGGTCGACCTATTTCATCACATGAAACCTCATTCTGTATACTTAGCTACATCCTTGGCCCGTTTTTGTTTTGTTTTTTGGCAGCACTGGTTGTATCTTTGTAGTGAGCCTTAAGTGCAGTCTATGAGGTTGAAATTTGTAATATGGAGGGTATGTGACTATAACAAGCAAGAAGATTCCTTATAGGTCGACCTATTTCATCACATGAAACCTCATTCTGTATACTTAGCTACATCCTTGGCCCGTTTTTGTTTTTTGTTTTGGCAGCACTGGTTGTATCTTTGTAGTGAGCCTTATCTCCCCAT